GAGATACGACCGTAGTAGGTTCTGATGCGCCCGGATTTCGGCTTGGAATAGTCGCGCGCGGGATTTGTTGCGTAGGTGATACAGTCAATGGCGATATCGGTTATATCCATGGGAGGGGAGACGTTGGTCCGGAGGCGGCGGTATTGCTGGCATTTGTTGGGGCCGATGGATTTGATTCGTGGGAAGTATCTGGAGATCGAGTCCAAACACCACAGATACCGTAGTCCGTCAGCTTATAAGTCTGGAGGGAGGCGGGGGTGGTAGGTCGATGATACGCATGTTCGGTACCAGTTGAGCCGCCAGCTTAGAGGTAGTCCAAGTGCCACGTCTTACGCAGAGTAGTCTCAATCGTTTTCATACGTAGTCCGTGATTTGCAGATGCGTGGCCATACTTCCGGGCTTTGAAGTTGAAATCTCCCCACACGACATCTGGTTGGAAACCGCCAATCTCGGTGGGATTCATGTATCGCCTGACGTCTTCTTCAGTAAGCGATTTGAGTGGGAAGTAGAACACGGCCATATGAACACCAAAGCACACAAAGAACACCGCGTACGGTGAAGAGTGTACAAGTTGAAAATCTGATGGGTGGTGTTTGGAAAAGATACCAATACCACAGTGTGAAGGGTGTATGATATTATGCCGTGTAGGCTGATAGGGCTTACTATGATCTCCGCATGCAACAAATATTGGTACCATCATCAAGATGTATCATAGCTTTAAAGTGTCTAAGCGCATTCATGTCCATAAAATATGCAAAGTATTCATATCTTTATTAATCATGGTTAATGAATATGGACACATAATGCAAATATTTTTTTGCACAAACATGGCACAAACAGAAGTGAAACCGTCATTGGGCGACCTAGCAAGTCGTTGTAGACGCAAAGATGTACAACAATGAATTGTCTATTCTGACAATGAAAAGGATCAACCTATACTTCAACGCGTCGCCAAGGAATTGTTGGGCAATGAACTACCTCCTGTGGTTACAGAGATCAGTGATAGTGGTCTGATACATGTGCATTGCCCCCTCTGTACACAAATCTGTTAGCATCGTGCAGTGATACATTGCCATGCGGCCTCACACTGCTAGACAACTACAATATGAACTTAGAGATTCGTTCGTAGATGCATTTGACAGTGAGTGAGATTGAGTTGACGGTGGTGGATCAGTGCAAAAGATTGAACTGGTTCAACTGGGAACCGATAAAGTGCCACTGCTAGTACGTCTTCCGCAAGTTATGGATGAGAATAGAAGGGTCATGCATGAACGGATACGTACATTTATTAAAAAAACAACAACAGGACAGCGCACGCTGAAAGCACGCCACATGAAGACTGTCTGTGGTATCAAAATGTCGGGTACGAGATATCTGGCTCTTTTTAGCGCCTTGTGGAGTAAGTCAACCTTACCTTGCAGAAGATGGCCGAGATTGTGCTTGGCGAATTTCTACTGAAGCCTGATGTGAGATGTGGAACCCGGTCAGCCTCTGATTTAAATGAAGAGCAGCTGAAATATGCTACACTGGATGTATGTGTACCATAAACATTGTATACAAAGGGATCACAAGCCCCTTCTAGAAATTAATTACAACCGATGTCGATAGTAGCGTACTACTCTACACAAAATCTGGAACAGAAGTTGTCGCAGAGGGTGAGCTCAGCGCAGACGAAATAGATATATGCGGATGGAAAAATATCACATCCGATAGTAAATTCAGTATCGTTCAAAATGTAGACACCGTCCTCAGGCCAACCGCTTGGGCCTCCCACACACCAACTTGGAGACGAAAATATACTTAAAATCAGTACTGACGTGTTTATTTGTTCCTCCGACAACGATCTCTTACTCTTTGTGCACTACCACAATGTCGATGAAGAGAAACACAAAGCTAGCGGTGCTAAAGCAAAGATACTCTAGCTTCTGATAATCAGACATATCGAGCAGCAAATCTAAATGAGGATGTGAAGACTCCAGATTAGTTTTACAGTGTACGATGCTGTAAAATCATAAACTGACATGGTCAGTCTGAAAGTTGGAAACGGACTAGTTCTGAGAGCGAAAAATGTCCTCGAGTATTAAAATTCAGATATTTGGTTTAAAAATACATGAGCAATTAGTAAAAGTGACAAGTCTCACTGATTTTTCATGTTTGTATCAAGTGCACAGGCTATTATACAAACGAGTATTTTTTTGTACGCCTTGAATCGGGTTCGTGATATGGTCAGCAAATATTGAAAGATCCGGCCGTTGGTGAGGCACATTCAAAAAATACTCCAAATATGCTTCGCAAATGTAGCAACAATACGATATGAGTAGCATATCAAGCAAGATTCGGACTTAGAACTATGCTTGCGCATCTATCTACGAAAAAAGGTGTATAGGACACAAACTGCAATGGGTTCAACGGCAGCTACATCAATAAAAACTTCTGCATCAGGCACTACATGAACACTTTCTGTATTATTGATACCTGCAGGAACAGTTAGAGCTGATGGATCAGTGCTCCAAAGTGACGGTTAATTCACTTACATTAAATGGATGCATTTCTGCCAGGTACTCACTATCATGACAAACCTTGCTACTCAACAAACAGGTTTATCATACTACTTTGATCACATATATGTCACAAATAGATTACTTAGTAAAGTTCTGCAAAGAATATTGTGCTATACAGTGCTGCAAAAACACTTAAAGACACCTCAAGCCGATTACAAGAATCTTTGTGTGTATGACGCCAATATGTGCGATGGGGATCTCTATCACTGTATGGCTTGGGCTACGGGCGGTTACCATTATATTACAACACTTCAGATGCGAAAACTGCCGATACTGACATTTATATCCACTATTCGATCGTCAGTACGCAATACACTGAAATTTAAAGCTTGTAATTTTTTTGCTGATACAGAATCTGCACATTTGGCCACGAATACTGAAATTCCTACTTGTCTTAAGGTGTCAGAAGTGGCGGATGACGCCAATGATAAATAGTTCTGGAGAGAGTTAAATGAAGAGCCTCCATCTTTGCAGAAAGTAGTTAGAAGTGAATTGGGGTGTGCTATGGAGTTTGCTGAGTTGGTTTCTATACTTCCTGTTCTCACTATAATTGACAAGGAACTACATAGGTTCCAACAGCATACAGGAAGGGTTGGATGGCAAGACTATCGTATTGACAAAGTTGGGAATGCATTGGACACTGACACCCTATTAGTAAAATTATATCATAGAACAGAAAATAATATTTCAGTGGAAAATGAAGGACGTGACTAAGTATTGTGGAAAGAATGGTCACAGTTGGATTTAGTCGGCTATACAATGCAGGGACGTATCTGGAGGACTCTTACATACTAAATACTTGTATATGGTTATGGATGATCAAAACCAAAATACAGAAAGAATGTCATCATCATTACAGGGATTTGTACTTTACTTCAAAGAGAAATTTATAAATAGAAAACCCTAGTCATCTTAAGCAATAGCGCAACTTCATGAACTGTGGTGAAAATCAACAAGAAACTATAATAGATGCAATCTAATTTGCGGATTGTAATGTGGATTTTTACGGAAGCGCAGCGAGATATGTATCTTTGTATTCACTATTCCACTTAGGCTCGCCGAATACATACTCGAAACAATATGATTTAGACGCTTTGCAATCGTAGTGAGACATCCTGAAATTGGATCACTTCGATGGAAATTATCACCTGTCCGTTCGGTATTTTAAAGCTTTAAAATGTTGGGACGAAGTCAAGAAAGCCGGAACAATGTATATGAAAAATCCAGCTTTGATATTTTCTCCAGTGTAACGAGGGCAAAACAAGCCAACCGGTAGCGACGTGTGTGCCATTTTCAAGACTTTGTTACTACACATGTGCATATCGCTGTCTACTACACGTGTTTTTAACAAAAGAACATTTCGCTACTTAGACCAGGAAAATCTGATGCAGAAGAAAACTTTAATACGGCGCGCAGGAGATTCCAATATAATATTGTGCCGCTCGTCGTACCCTATGCAGGAAAATTCGATAGTACTTAATCAAATGAAGCCATCCGACATGCTGTACACAAATGCAGCAATCACAGAAATTCAGTCACAAACGAGTAACGGCACTAAACGCAAGTTTAAAACTGAAGAAGCCACAAAGAAAGCAAGCGAATGTGTTCATAGATGCCGTCTTACTGATTGTCAATGGTACCAGTGTAGTACAGAACACACAAGCGAAACGTTTGGCACGACCAGTAGCGGATCAGCAGACAGCAAGTGTTGCTAACAGTCAACTGTCTACACCACATGTGCCCGTGCAAATGATACCTCCAAACAAGGTTGGGCGATGGGATTAGAGAAAGTCTTCATAAACACTATATTAAATTGCGTTCGCGTGGGGTCAACGACACTACCAAACTGAGTGAGCAACAAGAAGAGCTATACAAAGTATGGTACATACAAGGTATTGAGAGTATGAAAAAGGTCTCTGCAGAGGTGGCGTCAGATACTCCAAGACCTTCTGATTTTCTTCCGACTCGTATCCTAAGTCAGAATTAAACTTGTATCCGTCCTCCTATGAAGGCACACGTCTCACTGCCAGTGCCCTCGTCTACACCTGTGGGTGTTAAGGGACTCGGATCATCCGCCTGCATTCAACACATCATGTGAGTGATGGTGGGCCACCCGAGGCTTCAGTGGCGGTGAACGGCAAGTACGACCCGCTTCTACCTGCGGGTAGCATCTGAAGTATTTTCCCAGTAGGTATGTCCTCTCCGTGTGAAACTGAGACTCGCATAGGAACTGCTGTACGCACCTGCAGTCTGCTGACTGAAATTGCCTCACCGCACCACGTGAGCTGTGTACGTGAACCTTGGGCATCTCGCTGACAGCCATCATGTGGTCGCCTGAGTACTTTCATACGAAGCTTAGCTCCGCTCCTAGATCATCGCTTGGACGAGCGTTGCATTCCCGGAGCTTGTGTAAAGCCACTATGCCGACAATGCGCCCCGCAAGCACACCGACGCCATATACCCGAGAATCCATGTCAAATACAGCTGCCCACCGCAAAGTTAACTGCGTCGCATATCCTATTTCAAAATTTATTGAGCGGAACAAATCCTCTGCGATCAACCATGTTTGTTTATTCGTGGGAGAAGATCCCGCCACTGTCTCCACATCAATGTCCAATTACAGCTGACGTCCAGAAGTGTTGGTTTCCATCCCACAAATACCAGTAACCGGTGGCTCTTAATACATAAGTGTATTGTAAATTACGTTAATTAACTGTAATAGCTGAAATAAAATCAAAGCTGGAATTGTACCCTTATACACAAGCGCTCCACAATCTTGTATATATGCCTGGACCATCGGGGCCGGCCAAATTTTGGTCTTCTTGGTAGTTGCTGACGATGCCATGTCCCTGCGGATTGCACGTGAAACATTCAGTGAACTGTGCATTCTTCTTCTTGTCATCACGTCTGTGATTTTTTGCTGGCTTTCGTTTACCATTACCTTCCTCAGACTGATTTTTCCACTCCTCTTTAAGAGAAGGTGAGCGCGAGCAGTATCAAATGCCACGATCACGTGCGCAGTTTCCATTTCTATTAGCGCGGGACCCATATCTTTGCATGGGTGGCCAAATATACGCGTACATAGGAAGAGCGGCGCGCGTGATAAACGTAAATATTCTATTTTGGTCGGGGTTCATGAGCTTGAATTGTTCAAATCTCAGCGTGCGGCCCATAACTTCTCGTGGGTGGCCAAATATACGCGTGCATAAGGAAGCGTCGCACCTATATATAGAAGTCGCTAATATATTTTGGTCGGGGACCCGGGTTGTTTGAGCCTCTAATATATGTATACCGTTGTATCGCACGTGTGGCGTTTTATTCCGCGTAGATAGGCCGTTATTTAGCGCGTGCAGGCGGGTGCGCGATTTCCTGGTTGGGGTATTTGAGCGTTCTCAGCGTCCCGCCTATTATTGCGCGTGTAGGGCCAATCATGTTTGTGTATTCCGCTATTTCGCGCGTGTGGCGTAAATTTTACGTTTGTAGGCCGCTTTTGAGTGCGTGTAGGCAAGCGCACGAATACCCAATCGGGTTATCTGAGCCTTGGTGAAAGTATCTCAACGTACGGCCGAGTATTTCGCTGGCGTGGCATAATATTCTGTGTGGACTGCTACTTATCACTTTACAGGTACAGTGGAACACAATACCGTACAACTGTATGTTTCGCACATGACCATAACCGCCCTTGGAGCACATGTTAACTTAAAGTAGTCCGAAAGTCCCTGCCTAATTTGCGATCCATCTCAATTGAGTGCATCTAAATGTACAAAGACAACTATAAACATATTTTAGATGCGTATAGATTCAAAGCCTCTGGGTCATAATGTTGCGCAGCTGTTTGATTTGCATATATGTGAACAATTGATAAAATACAGAGATGAATTCATAGATATGTTGATACATATTTGTGAATGTTTGTTCATAAGCCTTGGTTCACAAAGTCGTGCAGCTGCTTCCCCGCAGCCTGGCCCAACAGTGTCTGCACCTCTTTCAAATTCATCTGTGACAGTTCGTATACGCTCGCAACGTTGTCCATGACATATTTGCTGTGTGTATGGAAGTATGCATATGGAAAAGAGAGATAAGATACAGGACAAAGCGGTATAAATCGGGACGAGTGAGGTAGCAGAGTATAGTTGGATCCTGCTTCTAGCAGACGCGCCAACAAAGCGATAGCTGCATGTTCTTAGGTGACAGTGGTATATACAATACTTTGATGCTGGTCATGCCAGTTCAAGATAAAAACAATGCTGCCATGCGCGAGCATATTCGCAGCAACCGAGAAAATAAAGTGGCCTTGTGAGAATGAAATGCTAGAACGTGAGATAGTGTATGTGGTCGATATAGCCAATCTGTTAGTGGTGAGATTCGAGGTATACACACATGTCGAGAATGGGTAGCTGTCCACCGTCAATAGACAATAGAGAGACGCCATCCCAAATCTGTACCGCATAAAAACCAGTTTGATCCGTACTGTAACTGTAAAACGACACATCTAAAACCCGTAGATGGAATGATCCCTGCCAATAAAGTACCTTCTTATCCACTAGAAAAATTGAGTTGCAGGTGCCTTATAAGCAACAGATAGAGGTATACATATACGCCCTAAGCTGTTCGAAACGTACGACAGCTGCCATAGTCAACCCCTTACCATCCCAGAAACAGCAGCATACCCACAACCAACCAACCAATCATACAGCTTACACATTGCGCGACGTTATACCAGGCATCTTCAACAGCAGTTGCTTGGCCTGTTGATTATAGTAGCCCGTATTCGTAGTACCACCGCTACCATTGTACCCCGTATTACTACTGTTGTAGGCCGTGGTTCCATTGTTAAAGCCCGGCGCGGTTGCAGCAGTGTGTGTGGTGTTGATTTCGTCTTCGATGGCACTGCGCTTGGCCATACACGTGGCTGGGTCGGGCTGTGCGTGCCCGGTTTTCAAACTGGAACCAAATCCGTGTGTATAGCGAACATGATTGAGAGCGATGGCAACCCAGAGGGGGTGATATATACACTTGTGTACTGACAAGTATCGGTTATGTGTAGATAAGTGCGATATGTGATATGAGCGTGTCGCGTTGGCTTTGTCTCCGGTGGCAATACGTTTGGCCACACACGCAACAGGGTCGGGTAGTGCGTGTCTGTTTTCTTCAGCTGCGCACACGTGGGTGGAAGTATACTGATGGGAAAGATGCACGCAAATACACAAACATTGCCCCCCTTGAAAGTGTAGACGCATGCACGAGTACACGGAGACACCATGGTAACTACACACTCATAACTGGGAGAATACACAGACACACAGACACACAGACACACTCACTCATAACTCGGAGAATACACACACACACACACACACTCTCTCTCTCTCTCTCGCCATCTCTTTCTGATCTCTTGTGCGCTCTTGTGCGGTGAGCGTAACTAGAGAATTCGTAGTGTTGTGGCGTGAATGGCATGGTGTGGTATAAATATATGTATTCACTTGGAAGTTTAGTTGCACGCACTAGTACAGTCATGCATCATAGTACTACACACACTCACATAAGCACACACACACTCATAACTATGGGAATACACATACACACACATGTACTCATACACACTCACTCACTCACAACTGTGAGGATACACATACCTACGCAGACACAGACACACACACCTTCTGATAACTTCTGCGCTCATGTGCGGCGAGCGCGACCAGATAAGCCGCAGCGATGTGAAGTGGCTCGTGAGGAGTGTCAGCTTAGACGACATATGGTCCCATGAAATGTCTCCGGAGAAGTCATTCTTTGACTGGCATTGAATACGGAAAATTACGGGATGAGAAGGAAGCATATCGGGATAAAGCGGGATAAAGCGGGATGTGAGGTATACAAAAAGCCAGCGAGACAACATTTGGTCTCAAGGGATGCCACCGGAGAAGTCATTCTATGACTAGCATTAAATGCTGAATATTAGGGGATGTACGGAATATTGGGATAAGTATGGATCAAAGAGGGACAAAGCGGGATAAAGCGGAACGCGAGGTATGTAAAATGTCAGCTATTTGACATCTGGTCTCATGTTATGTCTCCTGGTTTTAGGGGTTCGTTGACTGTGGTAAGGATCACAGAAAATTACGACATGAGTGTTATATGAAATGTCAGCTAAATCGCATATAGCCCTATGTGACTTTTAAAGATGCCATGTGCTTGTCTGCGGCAGATATGTTCCAAGAATTCATGGACAAAACGTGGGCCGAAAGTAAACAAACGCCAAGTAAAACCAGGATTAAACGGGACGGAGATTGATGAAGCGGGACTTGAGAGTGGTGCTGCAAATGGACTTCTAGAGATGTTGTGTGGTGAGCTGCTTGCTGAGCGCTATATGATGCATGCGACAGGATGGAACTAGTCGAACGATTGGCCCCATACAAATGAAGTCTGTCCGAAGCTCAGCAAACAATGCCGAGATGAATCTGAAAAACTATATCAACACAAACAGATGCATATAGCCCGCAGCAGGAGTTGCCGCTGAATTCGATTTATAGTCCTAAGGAGCAGACTTAAGTTTACCGAAGAAATTCACTGAATTCTATAAATAGCAAATACGCATAACACGTACATGTAACCCAAAGGAGGAGGAGTCACTGAATTCTATAAATAGAAAATACACATAAAATCTACATGTACAAATAACAAATACACATAAAACCTAGATTACAAATAGCAAATACACATAAAACCTACAGGTATAAATAATATATACACATAAAACCTACAGTTTTAAATAGCAAATACACATGAAACCTACATGCATAAATAGCAAATACACATAAAACCTACATGTACAAATAACAAATACACATAAAACCTACAGGTATAAATTGCAAAAACATATAAAACCTACATGTATAAATAGCAAATACACATAAAACTTACATGCAACCCAAAGGAGGAGGAGTCACTGAATTCTATTAATAGAATGGGAATGCGGTAGTGACGCTGCATGGCCATACACTGGTTGTACAATCGCCCGCTTTTCAGTGAACCAATCAAATCGCTCAGACTCTTTCGCTCCACACACATGTCGGGTGTGATGATATAATCGCCCACCTATTTATAGAACACACGATTGTGGTTGGCTATTGGTTAAAATGCACAATTGCGACTGGGATCGGGTTCGAGTAAATTCACTCCAGTTCAGGCCAGTTTACTTTTGGTTCGTTTAGTACTGACAGAAATGACGTGGGCAACATCTATTTACAGCATCAAAGGTAAAACACTTCGGAACTCACGCACATCCACCAGCATCAGCACCAGTTATTCTATCACGCTAATATACACTAACACACAAACCCACACACACCCACACCCACCCCCCCCCCCCNCCACACAC